AGGGCTGAGCAATGCGCGACGTTCTCAATAATAGAACTACTACTGGACAGGACTTGGCGTTACAAGACTTAAACCATCTTGTCGCGGCAACTCCCGGTTTTGAGTTGGACGTTTCCTCAGATCATGCCACGACGACGACTTGTCACATGTCAGGATCCATTCGATCACGGGACATTGTGGACGCGTCGCGGTGACACTTCCAAGTGTCACGGCGAGTCGCGCCCATACTCAAACACACTAAAATCGATACGGCTAGATCCGTGAACCGAGCCATGTGGGAGACGACTGGCGTGCCTAGAGCCATACGGCTTCTTGGGGCGCCCACGTTGGTCTCACATGCCAAGACATACCCGTTGGCCAATCCAGCACGTTGTATTCCAAAAGTATGACGCGGTGAGTTGGCCCACATCAAAAGTATCATATGGACAATGGGGCGGGGTCCTGATCACTCAGGACCTGTCCGATCGTTCAACTTTTCAATTACCCTAAAAGGCAACCGATCTTAGATAGCGTAGCTACTATGCAGTTGTACAGGACTTTACTAAGCAGCGTCGTAGACAGTATAAGTAGCACGTCGTCTCTTTGTATTAGGAAGCTTTCCCCCGGACTGTGAATCACTCTCATTTCAGATTGTTTTGTACAATTTGCGTGTCGCGTGATTCCACCCTAAGAAGTTCTGCCATCCCTGCCCAGTCGCGACGAGTTGCTCCCTGAGCACTTGTAGCTACTGTGATTTGAGTTTGAGTTGAGATATCAGAAAGTCGGATTCGCCGCATCTGGTATTGTCGCGGCATTTAGTGTCGTCGCCTTAGGGCTTTGTTGAGATCGTTCCACACCTCTAGCTTGGCAGTGCGTCGACTAGTTGTGCTCGGGTTGTTTTGGTCAGTTGGCAGTGCGTCGACTTGAGAACTTTGGTTCCACACTTCTTGCTTGGCAGTGCGTCGACAAGTTGTGCTTGGGTTTTGGACATTGGATATTGGCTGTTAGTTGGCAGTGCGTCGACGCGGCATTTTGGTTTACTAGTTGGCAGTGCGTCGACTCAGTATATTGGTTGTATCGGTTGGCAGTGCGTCGACTTGATATTTGGGCTTTGCGTCACCATCTAGACGCTGTCGCTACAAGGGATCTTAATACTTCGTATTAAGCTCTGACTTGTTATATTGTTGGTTGTGGATTGGATTAGTGTTGGTTGTGTTCGTATAGGAGATATTGGTTGAGACACCATTGTTTGCTATATATATATATCCTGGTCGTCGACTCCCTCTCCGCGACTATTGGATCTGCGTCTATTGAGAGTTGTGATACTGGTGCTCTGTCCACCCCGAAGCCCTCGCATCTTTCACACACTGAGAAGCTGATTACGAGGAGTGTGAACGTGTTTATATTTGGGTTTACTTTCATAGTAGATTCACTTGTGAGCACGCCCTCAGCATTTCAGCGGATAGAACCTATTGACCACTTGTTACGCAGACGCGTCTTGGTGGGAAGCCGACATGTTTCTTCATCTGTCCGACAGACTGTACTGCTGGATCGACTGCACGCTGTGCCTGTTTCTGACGGTGCACTCACTTTGGTGAGGCAGGATGTTGGAAGCTAGCAATTGATGGCAGTAGTCCGTGGATACAGTGATGCACGTGGTGTGTACCTACGTACAGTGCGAGTCGGGTGGCTATGTTACACAGCCATTCGCCTCACTGTCCAGTTTATGCTCGAGAGTTTTATTGTCGGTTTCAAAAAATGATCCAGGGAAAGAGCCTAGTAAGCATATGCGTGGGGGGCTTCTCACATCCTCAATTATGTATCTGGAAATGCGGAGATGGGTGTTTGAACTAGATATGCAACAAAGAGGGTGTTCTTTCATGGGTGCAGATACATCATTCTTACGTGCTCAACCGTAGACCAAGAACAAAGCCATGGTGACTCCAAATCCAAGGACTAGCCACAAAATGAGGCATGTCCAATGGCGATACATGTCAATATTGTATTGACGCGATTTGCCGACTCGGCCTTCGCGAATCTGCCTCGAAGGTAAGTAAACCGCAATCTGGGAACCAAGGGCACTCACATTTGCGGTGATACGTTCTATAGTGAGATGAATAGCTTTCAACTCTTGGTCAGCTGCATTCCGCGTGAGGACCATGTTCTCAAAGAGCAACTAGTTTTGTGAGATGGGAGGTTGTTCATCAGCGATAAACCGCACATGCCTGTAGCTGATCTTTCAGCCGAGACTGAAATTGAACGAGATTGGCTTGTGTTGCCCCAGAATGCTTGGTAGATTGTGCCAGAATATCCCACTTTCTGACTATGAAGTCCGCCCAGATAGCGTCTAGACCGTCACAAACGGTAAGGTAGAACACCTCAGCAGAGAATCCATGCACCTTGGAAGTAACAGAAAGTGCTTGGAGCATGGCAATTCGAAGAAGGGGCTTCTCTGCTTCGGATGAATCTGTTCATAATATTGGTCCTAGAAGTGATGTATGGACTTGAGCAGAGCTACACGCACAAGCTTGATTGGAATGCAACAATCCAATGTGCTGTAAGATTCCACGCATAGATTGAGTGTGCTTTGCAAGGAACTTATTCTCCTCTTCATTCACAAGACGGACGGCGCCATCAAGGAGTGCCTGCGTTTCCGAAGTCAACGAGGAGACTCGGTGATAGGCTGGCTACCAGACGCGCTGAAATGCTGAGGGCACGCTCACAAGTGAATCTACTATGAAAGTAAACCCAAATATAAACACGTTCACACTCCTCATAATCAGCTTCTCAGTGTGTGAAAGATGCGAGGGCTTCGGGGTGGACAGAGCACCAGTATCACAACTCTCAATAGACGCAGACCAATGGTCGCGGGAGACGAAGTCGACAACAAGAATTTATATATAGCAAACAGTGGTGTCTCAACCAATATCTTCTATACGAACAAAACCAACACTAATCCAACCACAACCAACAATATCACAAGTCGGAGCTTAATACAAAGTATTAAGGTCCCTTGAAGCGACAGCGTCTAGATGGCAACGCAAAGCCCAAATATCGAGTCGACGCACTGCCAACTAGTAGAACCAAAATGTCAAGTCGACGCACTGCCAACTGACACAACCAAGATATTGAGTCGACGCACTGCCAACTAGTAAAACCAAAATGCCACGTCAACGCACTGCCAACTAACAGCCAATATCCAAAACCCGAGGACAACTAGTCGACGCACTGCCAAGCTAGAGGTGTGGAACGATCTCAACAAAGCCCGAAGGTGACGACACTAAATGCCGCGACTCAAACCAGATGCGGCGAATCCGACTTTCTGATGTCTCAAAACTCAAACTCAAATCACAGTAGCTACAAGTGCTCAGGGAGCAACTTGTCGCGACCGGGCAGGGGTAGCAGAACTTCTTAGGGTGGAATCACGCGGCACGCAAATTGTACAAAACAATCTGATATGAGAATGATTCACAGTCCAGGGGAAAGCTTTCTAATACAAAGAAACGATGTGCTACGTATACTGTCTACGACGCTGCTTAGTAAAGTCCTGTACAACTGCATAGTAGCTACGCTATCTAAGATTGGTTGCCTTTTAGAGTAATTCAAAAGTTGGACGATCGGACAGGTCCTGAGTGATCAGGACCCCGCCCCATTGTCCATATGATACTTTTGATGTGGGCCAACCCACCGCGTCATACTTTTGGAATACGACGTGCTGGATTGGCCAACGGGTATGTCTTGGCGGGTGAGTCCAACGTGGGTGCCCCAAGAAGCCGTATGGCCCTAGGCACGCCAGACGTTCCTCACGCTGTTTGGTTCACGGATCTAGCCGTGTCAATTTTTAGTGTGTTTGGGTATGGGTGCGACTTGCCGTGACACTTGGGAGTGTCACCGCAACGCGTCCACAATGCCCCGTGATTGAGTGGATCCTGACATGTGACAAGTCGTTGTCGCCGTGGCATGACCTGAGGAAACGTCTAACCCAAAATCGAGAGTTGCTGCGACAAGATTGGTTCAACCTTGTAGCGCCAAGTCCTGTTCAGTAGTAATTGTATTATTGAGAACGTCGCGCATTGCTCAGCCCTTCAGCCCAAGTTCCCATCTGCAGAGAATGACCCTTTTGAGAAGTCGACGCAACGACAGATCCCTTTTTGGGGAATTGTCGCGGTCCAAGCGTTTGTCACTAATGGCCCTGAGCCTGGTATAGACTCATAAGACCAGTTCCACAGTAGTGGTCTGACTGCCTTGCTATTGTTGACACTATCCACAGTCGTCGACTGGGCAGTAGACCCTTAAGCCCTACTGAATGTAACACTGTCAACCGCGACACAATACACCGAATGGTTCGAGAGTAAACACTGTAAAAAGCGCAAAAATACGCCCTTACAGAGCTGGTGCAGAGCGCATCTGGTAGCCAGCCTATCACCGGATACGTGTTGATCTGGCTGAAGTTGTATAGCGTGTCGAGATGAATGCGCTTTGGTGCGCTCCTCACCGCATGTCCGATTTGCTTTACTGACACGTTTCAGAGCACATCGTTCATACCGCTCTGGACTCGATCGGCCAGCGGGCGAAGGTTCCATGCAGCTGCAAAGGCTACACACTTTGGAGGCTCTCCGACATTGGAGGCTTGGCCAGCCTGGAGCATATCATCGGCTTGTGCGCTAAGTCCGCTGGAGAATTGCTCATCAACTAGAGTCTAGACAGGTAAGTCCAGGATCTTTTACCGCAAATTATCTTTACTAATCTTCCATTGCAGGTGCTTGAGGTCGATGTATACATATGATTCATGTACTTCAATATGAAATTCAGCTCCCTGGCTTCCATCCGCGTCCACTCAATCTGTTCATTCCCTCGACGACGTGCCATATGTCAGCCCCCAACCAGCTGATGCGGACGTGAAGGACAAACTATCCGAGCGAGAAGGACCCGAGCGTGCAAGCTGTGCACACCGGCATGCTCGAGCGCACGAACCACTTCACTAGAACCTATCGTGAGCACTACTTTGTGCTGACACCTGCATGGTTCCTGCACAAATACGCCAGCGCGGACGCGCTTGTCGCACGCGCAAACCGGCGTTCGGCCTGTTTCTGCCACTGTGCACGCTCGGCCCGCCAAGCAACGCCAGCGCGCAATCCAAGCTCCATATCGAGGGCGCGAAGGACGGCAGTGGCACGACAAAGAGCGGGACCATGCGCCGCTCGCTGACCATCACTCGGCTGTCTGGTGGAGATCTTGCATGGGGCTTCCGCTCGAGAAGTCGTGAGGATATGATGGAGTGGTGGAACGATATCCGGATGCTGTGCGCACGGTACCTGGTCTCGAGCAAAAAGATGGAGAGGAGCGGGCCGGTTGCGGCTGCTGTGCGGTCGACTGGGCACGTCAGGGAAGAGGAGGATTCCGAGGAAGGAAGTAGCATCGATGAGAAAGAGGACGACGACAAGCTCGAGTACGTTCTTTCCGCGGAGAGATGGGTCCACCAAACTATTCGAACGGACGACTTGCGTTGGAGATGTGTGCGAATGAATACCCGGTAAGGCTCACTGTCTTCCTATCGCGGGGCACATGCTGAATGATGATGTTACAGGTTGACAAGAAGGACCCGATCACTCTCGCAATCTGTCCGCGGTTGATGGCGGTGCCAATGTCTCTCACCGACCAAGCAAGCGGCAGCAGGAAACAGCACTGGAAGGCCGTCCCCCGCACGCAGCCGAGGAACCATCCGCTGAGTTGGAGCCACCAGTCGAAGACGCTGCCCCTGCGCCCCCTGTGGAGAGTCGGTTGCTCAAGGACCTCTAGATGCAGTGTCGTATTCTTGGATGTTTCCTTTCACTACATTTGTAAGAGCTCTGTTTCTTATGTATGGTTTTGAATCATTCGTCATGGATTTCTGCATTAACGAGGTATACAATGTTCCAGGCTGCGCCGACAGCCATGTTCGTTGAATGCGGGGACGCTGTCTGGACCAAGCGATCACTTTTCTCTCTATGATGCGCCGAAACATGGGTCTTAGCAATGACACACCAGTCGGATGGAAGACCTCAGACAATGCAAAGTTGGCTGATTGATTTGCGGGAGCGCTGGAGTCCGACTTGGCGCAGGCGGAGTTTCGAATCGGGGACGACAATCGAGTAGATACCAGAATGACTACAAGCCGCGCTGCTACATAGCCAGCCGACTCGCCATCAGTCGGCTGTGATCAAGGGCGGGACGTTCACCGTGGGCCCCTCCCAGCCAGTAATCTGGGGAAATTGTCTGTGAAAGGGGGACTGGGAAGGGATCCTTGCACTTTGCTGCGATTGCCGTGGTCTGTAGGGGATCAGAAGAATCAATAATATATGCGCAGTGCGCACTGTTATCTCCTAGGGTCTGTGTAGGTCGCACACAAGGCAGTAAACACGCACCGTATAGAATCAATTTGTCCCCACTTCCTGCATGGCTTGCTCATGCTGTGGTCTGAAAGCAGTAGCAGAAGATAAATGTATTGTGTGCTAGATACAACAGAGGGCGGTTTGGGAAAATATTATACAGAGGGTGGGCGAAAATTGAGGGCTGTCGTAGGATGCTTGAGATATCGCCAGGTGTTGACAGCGGTTCAGATTCAAGTCGCAAATGCGGGTTGTTGGTGTTGACGGCGGGGGTTGAACATTATGTGATAGCAGATCATGTGGCTGTGCAGGCACATCAACGACACAGGCACTCACAGCAAGGGGCGGCGGGTCTTGCAGCTCGTGAGTGTCGGTATAGTCGCGTAATAATGTCGGCAGCATGCATGAGGACTCGCAGATTGACTCGGCTCTGCGACTATTCATTGAGTCGTGCCAACTCATAACGAGTCGTTGCGACTCGCATCTTTTTTCACTGAAAAAAGAAGATCTATTCTCAGTGAAAATCGATAAAAAAAAAGATCTTCTATTTACAGTCCTGTTTTTAGGAGGAATAGACGTCTATTTGTGGTAAAGATCTAGCCGTAAATCGACGTCTATTCTCAATGTATAATTTTTGTCTGAAAACAGAACGGTGAAAATCGAACTTCTAGATTGTCACGCATTTTCCACGGAAAAAAAATAAGTCCCCCCGCAGTGTTTGTATTTAACCATTTGTACTGCAATATCTAAAATATTGAATTTTGATTGTGAGCCACATTATTCGCGATCTGCCGGAATGAAACATGTGACCTGCAGCAGTCGCGGGTCTTCGTGGGGGAATCGTCTCCGCCGTGAGAAGTTCTCCCCCAGAAGCAGATGCAGAGACCTGGCACTAAAATGTCCGATGGACTCGTTCGGGCTGGTGCATTGAAGCTTTACGAAATCTGAGATTTGTTCTTGTTGATCGTGCTGATCATGGTGAACGTGGTGAGCGTGGCGATCGTGGGTTGGTACTGGCCGTTTTTGTACATGTGCATCGAACTTCGTCTCATCGAAGGGCGGTCTGCTGCGGATTACTTCCAGGCCCGGCGAGCTCAGATTGAAAATATGGCCATGGGATAGCCGAAGTAAGTATCTCATCAATGGCTCGAAACCACTGCCCTAAACATGTGGCCCGTCACTACTGTATCACTCAGAAGCGACCTTCCCGACTGAAACCAGCACCTCAAAGGCGATGAAAAAAGCGAGGAACTTTTCACTCGCTAATCAATCGATCGCCTCCCGTCGCTGGGAATCACAATTCACTGGTGTCATCTTTCGTAACGGCCCGTGGATCCATTGGACGTGATTTGTCGCTCTGTGCTCAGCGATATCGGGGAAGTCGAGATGTAGTACCCCTCAGACGCAAAACAGCCAGAACGGGTCGCCAACGAATGTTGGCTGGGCCCAAGTCCGAATGATGCTGTCTAACGCAAAGCCCACTGACTCGTCAATGCTCGCCGTTATCGAGGAATTGATGGACCGTGTAGCCCATAGCGTGGCAGAGTATATAGACATGTACGATGCTTGGAGCTATAGACCAACGCAGATGAAACACACTGAAATCTCAAACCCAGTTGCTGGCATTGAGTGTCGCATTGTTGTATGACTGGATGATCGTCGAGAGACTGGCATACTTGTCGGCTGCGCAACAGGGTGAGCACAGATATGCGGTTGAAGTATCCCTGCATGACACTCACCACCGCATGACCCTATATCATTAGCAGTAATGAGAACCTTCCCTGTGCAGCGAGGACGGCAGATGATGAGATCGTGATCCAGTCCAAGACAATGTGGACTAACCAGTATTCCCCGACATACGCAAACGAGTTGGGATCCAGAGCGAATCATACCGGCCACTTGTTCATCCGATGCATGCACATCCCCTGAAGCGTTCGCCGTGCTCCACAGGGGTAACACGCACGCCCTGCTGTCTCTGTCTGTTCGATGCGCCGACCTCTTGATGCACCACGTCGATTATTGTTTCCCACCCCTCTGTCTGCTCGCTGCTCCCGCTCACAGTTGAGAAGAAACACTGCCTATTCCTTGCAAATTCGAGTCAGCATACGATTATCTGCCGGGTGTAATATGGGGGGCTCGGACGCACCCCTTGCTGGAGACTCTTCCCGATCAGCCCCCGCCTTATCAGAAGCAAGGTGGCGGTAGTGGTCCCCCATAATGTTACTCGGGTGTTGTTCGTCGTACGGTCTGCACGCCATGGGCCCCATGACTAGTATCTGCGGTCAGTTTTACTGTGTCGACTCTGATTTTAAGAACGGATACTCACTGATTCTGTTGGAGATGCTGAACCCGCCCAACAGTCACCAGAGAGAAGCGCTAGACAGTCGCTACATCAGTTTCGGAAGATATCGTTGCAGTCGATTAGACTGCGAAGGTTGGCGCCTTTGTTTGTATCCGTTGTCAAACTCACCGGGGCGGCCGTGGTTGTCCAGGAAGGTGAGCAGCATAAAGAAGCAGGTGAAACAAGCTGAGTGGGTGAGGAATAGTCTGCTATTTTGCTGAGTCGTCGGGTCTCGTGTTCGCTCTTCGTGGGCTTGTCGCAAGTTCGTGTCATCATCGTCTTCAGCGTCATCATCACTCCATCGTTGGAGACAATGATGACACATCGATCAGGATGCGAATTTATCCGTGGTATTAGTGTATATTAGATTAGAGTATTTTAGAAGAGCTAGAACTTGGTGCTTTGAGGCATGTGATAAAATCCCCCGGTTGTATTACATATAAGAGCATAATGGAAGAGCTAGAATTTGGATAATCCAGCCTCAAATTCTGTCTTGAATTCTGATATCAACGAACTGTGGGCGAGAATGACGCCTTCCAGTCCCAGGCGGTCACGGCTTTGTCTCTCACTGCAACAGCAAGCTTGTCGCGCTCCGATGTTCAAATTCCCCTCCCAGCTTACAAGAAATCCGAGGCTATCTTCGGAACAAAACATTCGAAGTGAGACGCGCAAATATGCGCTTCAGCGGGGTGACCGCGAGGGGGAGTAGTGACAGTAAAAAGGACCATCCGACCGGAGGAGCGCGACAGTCAGAAACGTTTCGCGTTGGTGTGAATGTCACATGTGAAGTGGAGCATCAATTATAGAGGCGGAGTACCCAAAGTAACCGACGAATTTTAGAAAATGCCTTAAAAGGTCAAATCTAGATCATCTAATATATTCTATGATTATCGAGACGAATACTTGGCCAGAGTAGACTTATCTGATATCAGCAAAAGTGGGAGGCCACGGGTCATACCCTCCAAGGCTACTAGCGGGAGTGACGCACTGACATCATCGCCTGCTCCTTTTTGAGGAGCTTGACTCATCTCGCATGTCTCATTGAGAGATTAACGCTGCGGTAAACGTCAGCTTGATGACCAGCCTGCGGTTGCAGCGTCAGCCACACAAGGCGGCTGATTTGCACTCACAGACTGACATTCGACTCATGCTAACTGCTGTCTTTCCCTACGGAGCACTACAGATGACGACCAAGCTTAATCCCACATTTGTCCGAGTCCCCGATGGCGAACCGTTACACCCAATCTCCTGGTGCCCCTCGAGCTGAGCATGGTCTGTCGTATCGGCTTTTTTTTCTTCTCTCCAGCTGAGGGCACTTCTCTTGGAACACGGAATTTGATTACCAAGGGGGGCACCAGAAAGCAAAACAGTCCTACACGCATGTATTTCCCCGCGCGATGGACATCTCCTGCGGAGGAAGCAATCCCAAGATTTGGTGGGATATCCACCCCCCCTCCGCTATCAGGCCAGTGTTAGAACTTCAGTAACGAGAAATCGATCGTTGATGCTGGTCCCTTGGTCAGAACTTAGTTGAAGGTGCGGAAACGGGCTTCCTTGGATCTTCCTCAGGGTCTTCTTTTTCTGGAGGCGTGGAGGCAAATTTCAGGGGAGGATCGCTGCGGTCCAGACAGGCTCGTTTCCACGACCATAGGGATCGGCACATTCGACAAGAAAACATTCCGGCCATTGCGGGAATATGGAAGCAAGATACCGAGAGAGCCCTGCCGTCTATCCTGGGCTCGCAGGCAACAAATGAGGGGCAATTCCCGCGTCCGGGAGGTGAAGATCAAGACCTGCACAGCCAGCAAGGCCGTCATGAAGAGTCTCGCAATTTAGAGAGCCTAGGAGGTGGAGAAGGGCGCAGTCAGGGATTCGCGCGACGGCAATTCCTCTTGGTGCGTTTCTCCCCACAGCTGGTGTGGCGATTTCAATGACCTGACTTATCCGGCAGACGCATCGCGCCAACGGCTAGTACAGCGTGTAATGAGCATGCCGCTCCCCGCAGGCGGCCAACACGACGTCTTCAATTCGCTCAGACACACACCGATAATCTAGGACTTTCGTTGACATTTACGGCTTCATAATACCTCAGGTCCCATCATTCACACACCGGCCTTACATGGAGACAACGACTAGCCAAGATAACACAGAGGGAATTATCCAATCGACCTCTTCGAGCAGAACTGGCATTGCGTCCCGCGCCGACTACGATCCTGTCTGAGCGCGTTCAAGATCGACAGACGCATGTGCCTGCTGATGCGAAGATATCAGCAATAGCGATGCAGGGCACGGGTGCGCCTACTCCGCTTCTCGTCAAATCGCTATCATCGCCCTCACCCGATCTATCCTCGACTCGTTCGGCCCTCTCTTGTCCCTGTCCCTTCACATACATCCCGCACGCATTGCAAACGATCACATCCTCCGAATTGTCCTGGGAGGTACTCGTCCTCCTTGTACCACAATGTGGGCACCGTCTTGTGCCCTTGGATGACGCCGCATCTTCCAACAACCCGTCACGTCGCCTTTTGGCCAGTAAATCCTCAGCCATGCGCTGCTGTGAGCGCTGGGAAACATATGCAGCGCAGGCGTTGCACAGCGGAACATGCGTAATGGAATGTTCCTGCGAGACAAGTGTAGACGTCCCGCAGCGGAAGCATGGCTGCGCTAGCAGCGCTTGTGGTGACGGCATCATCTGTGGCAATAGTTCAGGCATCAGAGGATTGAGCCGAGGCGACTGAGATTCTTCCATGCAGAACGGGCTAGGCTCGAATGTATTTGAATGTAGTGAGGGCGAGAAGGAAGCCGGCGGCGCAGAGGGAACCGGTGAGGGAGTGACTGGTATCTGATGAGGGTCAACGTCAAGGTCATGTTCTGGGATGGGGAATGAGCGTATTCTCCCTCGTGGCCTGTGAGGGGCGTACCTGAAGCTTGTTGACTCTCCCCGAGGCTCTGAGATCCTTCAAACCAGAACGAATAAGTAAACTCGCCCATGCTTTGAATATCTTTGAGCCCGGAGAGCGATCTACCTACACCCGACTGCAATTATACACCACAAGGGGTCAAAGATCTGGATCGGGTGCGCTGGTGATTGCACTGCAACGTCCAGGCCAAAGCATACCTGAGCTCTTTTGGGGCTTTCTCGAGATTTGAGTCGACCTGTAAGCCCCATCTTGATCGCGCGTAGAAACGATAGATTATCTCCTGGAAAACAGCTGCAGGTTCTTGACACTTTACCTGCGAGGGCCTCGTTCTGAGACAAGATTAGTCGACGGCGACGTTGTAATTTAGTTTTTCGAGAAGCGCAAAGACTTCGCATCCGATTTTTTTTTACCCGCATTTGTTCAAAGACCATATCAAGGTGCGTGTGCCAGTGAACCGCTTCCATTTCGGTGACCGGTCCCATCGAGCGGTCATCGTGTTCGAAGGTTTATACGCCCGATCCAATCCTTGAACCCGTGTGGTAGACACTTTGCTTTGCGCGATCGACACCATCAGCACAGATCACCGCTCATGAGACGGTTCTCATTGGTTCCGAGCCAATGAAATCGTAACGCGAAATCTTGGTGAAGTGGCTGATTTGGCGGATTACTCAGTCTTTGCATTGAGCGAGCACCGGAACCGGGGATCCACGGGCTGAGAGCCACATCAGAATGGCAGGTCCGAAGAGGCCGAGGTGAAATATGGAAGTCAAACCGTCCCAATGACAGTTTTCAGCGGATCCAACGCCTGCTTCATGCTTTCAGACGAGAGAAGGTCACGATACGGCTCCACTTCAAACCATCCGCCCGCCGATATTTTACCGCCGAGAACAGGGACCGTTGCGGAATACGTTTTCGCAGTGTGAAGACACGTCACGAACGCCGCGGGAAACTATCAGTTGCCTAGCGCTCGTGAAAACTGTAGTCCTGAGCTGTTTACCATGCGCTGCACATCGCTATGTAGTCTAGCGGGCAACCGATCGATTGCCGCACATCCCTGAAACCATCAGATTCCACAGCTTCAGTTCTGGACTACACGCTCGACAAAGTTTGCTGATGAAAGTCCGTCTGGGAATAGCGGAGCGAGTGAAGGCGGCCGATTGGACAGGGCCACGAAGTGCTGATGCCATGTCGAAGTAGAAATTCATGCGTGATCTTTGATAAGAGGTGGCGACGACCACGCAGGGGTTGAATCCAGGGTGAGGTAGACGTGTGGATTTTTAGCCGAAATCACGTGAGTCAAACAGAACTCGAAGGTGGCGAGACAACTTTCGGCAAAGTTTATTGCCGGTTTTCTATGAACGGGACTGGACGGTTCGGCAGTGGTGAACACCTAAAACCTGCGCTGGAATAGCCAGCAGGGCAAACAGCTTCTTACTCATGGTGATTACTCTTGTCAGACGACGGCATCAGGCACAGCACGAGCTGCATCCCTCATCGATACGGAGGCGAGCGTGCATTTCATCTTGCCGCCTCGCTGGCAGCCTTTTTACGACAACGGCAGTAGGGACTTTGGCATTCAGTGGACGACTAATCAAATCTTTCTTCCATTTCTTCTGCCGTGAATGGTTCTGGATTATAAAGCCCGAGGTCAAGCACGGCGCGCTTGCAAATCTCCCTCTGTCCTCTCTTCGTCTGCCTTATCTTGCCTTATCTTCCCAGCTGACACCGCGTTCCCAAGAAAATGTCGTACCGAAACCACAGCCGCCATAACACACAAGGAGGGCCCCGGGCCAACTCTAGTCCCGAACCATTGCTTCAGGACCTCACACATCCAGCACTTCGTGAGTGAGCGCTTAAATTTAGTTGCGTTATTCCTTACTTCCTTCCTTCCCAGAAATACGCAATGTTTCCGACGCGCTGATTGTCGTCGAAGCCGTCCGTCGGGGAATGCTTCCGCTGATCATCCATCGCCTTTCAGTTGAAGACCGCGAGCAAGTAGGCGCTGGGCGAGTGTATGTTTGGGAGGAATCCGACCGAAAAGGTGGTTTGATGCGCTGGACGGATGGCCGCAAGTGGTATGTTTCTTGCCCATTCATGATGTCTCTGCTCAATCCGGTGCAGGTCCCAGAGCCGCGTGCTAGGCGAACGCCTGTTCTACGATGAAAAGGTGGAGATCACAGAGGAAGAGCGGGAAGCCAAGGCCCAACGACGGTGCGGACAACCTAAGCGCGGCCCGGAATCGTCCATTGCTAATTTCTGATCAGTGTGCAGAGAATTGTCAACCCGGGGATCCCAGTCCCACCTCCGAACCGAAATCAGAGACAGTTCAAATCGGATGGATTGACGAAAGAGAATTATAGCTTCTTTGTGAAAGGACCCGGCGATCTTTCTCGAAAATGGCATCTAGTGGCCTATAGTATTGTGCGCATCTCTGCTTCAGTATCGAATTGCCGTGGCTGATTGAATAAAGGGCTCCGAACGTGCTACTTATCCTACAATTACTCATTATCCTCATCTGCTGGCGATCCGGGTACCACCAGGCGTGTTCTCGCTATCAAGGAATCGCAGGGTCAGAGAGAAACATGTTCCTAGCGCTTGTGGAGGGAGTCTGCGATCCGTGGAGAGCACATCCATCGAATCTTCAAGTAGCAGGGGCTCTCGTGCAGAGAATGCGGCACGGGGATTACCTCAAGTCGGAGATTCTGCAGCGCAGAGAGTCATTCTTCCACAAATCTCCACCCTCTCATTCAACGACCCTGACGGACCCAGGTATACGTATCCGCCTCCCACCCGCATATCTCCCGCACAGGGTCTTAAGAGCACATTTTCAGACGAGGACAGGCGAATGCTAGATAGTTTCCCACTTCACCTGTAGCACCTGATGTAAATCCGCCGTGCAGATAACACGAGAGGATTGTTGACTTGGGCACCCGGCCTGGCTCCGAAGCGCCCAGGCCCAGGCCCAGGCCCTGGGCTTTTTAGCCCAAGGATAAGGAATGAGGTATACAAAATTACAAATGCTTCAGTGCTATTAAAGAACCAGGGCCATCTTTGCCTGTCCGAGTGTTTGGATGCCATTAGGCAAGCTATCGAACTGTGACGAGATCTTTTAATCCGAAATAATTATCTGCTCTTAGTGTTGTTCCGTATGGAGGCCCGGAACTATATGCTGATAGGCGGGCCTCCGTATCATTGATATTGTTTCGGCCGTTGATGCTGATCTGATTGACTGCTTCTGAGACCCCATAAGCCTCGCTAGGCATACACGAAATCTGTGAAGTGGCATTTCTCTTCCACGGCGTACAAAAGGGCCTGACACCATTTGAAATAAGTAAATTTTGGATTAATTAACATGCTGTGAAGCAGCCGCTATCGGGATGGATCCCAATGACTCATCAATAGCGCGTCATTTGTGATGCTAAAAATCTTGCACATTTCGTAGTACTGAAACGCATTGGAAATCCATTTCTCAATGAAACCAAAACAGTAGCTAGATAGTATAAAAGCAGAGTGCCTCCTGCTATAAGGGTGACGAGCAGTGATGCGCCCTAGCCCTGAAATCAATCGATCACGTGCACTGAAAGATCTAGTGGATTTGTCAGCGAGCTCATCAAGGTGGTTGCACGTGATCATTCTGATCATCACTGGATGCCTCCGGCGGGGTCCTATTTCGGAGTCCGTCTCCTTGTTGTGCTCACAGGACTCATTCATTTTGGCGAAATTCAGCACTGACTAAGTAATAAATTAACATAGAGCTCAATGGTCACCATATCAACAGCAGGTTCAATTTACTTATCTCCTTTGGATTTGATTCACACTTAGTATAAAATACCTGTAGTACAGTACAAAAAAACAAGAAATCCTCTTCACCCACCCTCTAGAGTCTAAAGGCACTTTCCAGCGCTTTCTATCTTGCCTTTTCAACGCCCACTACCTCGTTATTTCCCCAAACAGCTCTCCATAACTCCTATTTTGTGCTACAGTCCTACATATTGGTTCCCCTCGTTGTTCTATTGTCTCATCATCCCATCGCTTGTCCCCATCGTTGTCCTATTGTCCTAGACTTGTCCTCCATCCCCCCTTTTGCTCACCACTGCCCCTGCTCATTTCAGTTGAGCTCATTTCCTCGAGCCTGACCTTGTTTAGGATCACCTTGGACACCCCACATTTGTACCTCGAGAGGTACCTTTTTGAGGCCCAAACAAGGTACCTCAGTGGTAGTGGGCGGCTGTGGGCTGGGCGGCTGCTGGGCCCCCCCCAATGCTCTGGGCGGCCCCACTCAAAAATCCATGGGCGGCCAGTGGGCGGCCTTGGGCGTGCCCATGGCTCCCGGGGTCCTGATAGCGCGCGCAGCGCCCGAAAATTTTCTGTTTTTTTGGCCTATTTGGAAAGTAAAAGTCATGTATATTTTTGCAACCTACGCAATAATACTGGCATAGAATGTAACATATGACTTGTATTTATGAACATATTATGAATGTAACATGACTTATTCTTTCTCTTAAGGATATATCAAGTCACTATTTTGTAGGCTTATGGACTCGAAGAAAAAAAATCCTTATCTTGTGCGCTTTATGACTTGAGTGAATGATGCATACAGATGTTTTTTATATTCTCTTTCGAACGTAGATATATTCTCAGCGACAGATGATTCCTGAGCACAGGAAAAATGTATGTGACATATTGACGCCTAGGCAAGTGTGAGCCCGCCCACAGAGTTATGGGCCCGCCCAAGGAAAGTGTGGGCCCGCCCGCCTATTGCCAAGATTACTATGGGGCCGCCCATATCGGTTAGATAATTACGGGGCCGCCCATATCGCTTAGATGATCATGGGGCCGCCCGCCAATTGCCAAGATAATTACGGGGCCGCCCATATCGGTTAGATAACTATGGGGCCGCCCGCCAATTGCCAAGATAATTACGGGGCCGCCCATATCGGTTAGATAACTATGGGGCCGCCCGCCAATCGCCAAGACAATTACGGGGCCGCCCATATCGCTTAGACAATAAAGATACGAGTAACACATTAATGAGATCAAGAACGACAGCAGTACAGTAAGTGCGAAACAATAGAAATTGTCCAGACAACACATGAGACTAATATAGGTCACATCACAGTCCCGTAGCATCCAGTGTCAAGCAAATCTTTGTACAGCGTTTCGTGTAAGCCCCTGTGCCGCTCGGCAACAACCGGCAGGAGGCGGAGGTCCACGCGCTTCCACTGACCCTCCTGCTCCATTTGCAAGCCTCGACTGATGTAGTCGTCTACAACCATCGCGTCGCCTATACTCCGTCTGCGGAATTGAGTAACAAAGAACGTCCTGGAGGATCGTTCTCCAAAGACATATCGACAAACGTGCTCGCCCTCTCTGGGATCTTTCTCCAGCTGCTGCATCAGCAACTCCCTGTTCATCCGCTGACGTTTGCGTGGCGGCTCACTGTCATCCACGTCAGTGTCATTGAGCTCATCAGCCAAGCTGGGCGCCCGTTGATTTGGAGTCGGCAAGCGAGCTGCCATCGGCCGCTTGCCCTCTCTCTTCTCCTTTTCGTCGTTGATCTCCTTTTTGTAAGACGTGGAGTCCCGGACCCAGGCGATTTCATCGTTATCCCCCAAACGTGTTGCCAACACAATGTTGCCCACCTCGTCTGGATCGTCTGCAGCCTCTATCTCTTCTATATCATGGTATGAGTGAGCAGGAAACAAGCTATTTGGTACGACTGACCGTCTGTCCACTTCACGAAGTCGGGGGCTGCGCACGCAAGTTTCTCTTTGGCAGTTTTTTCCGCAATTGACTGGGCATCATCCACCGGCAAAATTTTGTAGTCGTCTGGTTTTGCACGCAACTCCATACCGAGAAGCACGCGTTGTACTAACTCAGCCAACGGTTTCCAATTTGGCTGCGGCAACTTGAAGCCATCTGGCCAATTGACGAGCCTGAGCTGATGGCGTCGACAGAGGTTCAGAAGGTCCCAGCTCATCTTCTTCAGCTGGAAACCTCCAGCACGTTCTATGTAGCATCTGTCAGAGGGCTACAATGCATTAACAAACTTGTTCACTTGCCCATCGCCATACGCAAAAGATCCTGCACGCGTGCTCGTTCCATGCTCCGCTTATCTGCGTACTGCTTGCCGCCTGCGCCCACTATCCGTCGCTCCGATCGATTGCCCATGATGGGAGCTCCCGAGTTCTTGGCCTGTGACGCCTGTGCACTTGCGGCTATGGTTGTCTGCTCGGTCATTGGCATGTCCAATGCACGTTCATCCATGTCCAACTTTCTGTAAGCCAGTCAGCATCACAGCAAAGGTTTTCTAGCTAACGCCTACCGCAGCATAGTTTCATAGTCTCGTAATTGACGATCGATAGCCACTGGAAACGTCTTCATCAGTTGCAGGTACTCGGGTGATCCCCCCCACGCGCAACTGTGCTGTCCGTCTTCGTCAATGATTACCCCGAAAGCATGCACGTTGAGTTGCCGATATGCTTTTGCTGACTGCAAACATGTTAATAACACTCATCCACAGAAAATCTGCATTACAGACCACACGAGTGAGATTCTTGGCCACATCGGCAACCAAAGCGGGAAACTTTCCACTCCTTCTTGTATCGATTATCTTTTCCTCCATGTGGATTGCATACCAATCAAGGACATCACTAAAATGCTCGTTGAGCGCGTCGACATTGCTTTGCTGTTCCCGGCCCAGCTGGGCCAAACGATCGTCGTACGCTTTGCTGACCTGCCCGTTCCAGACGCTGACATGCACTATCAGATTGGTGAGCTCACAAGTGTACACTGGTGGAAAGTATCCACTCACTATCAGCTGGTTTTTGACCCTTGTGTTGAGCCGAGTACCAGGTCTGGAACTTGTTCCACATGTGTTCCTTTGGACTTCGACAATCCTCGTCGCCGCTCACGTTCTCCATCACTCTTTCCACCGGTACGTTGTACTTTTCCGATATCTTTTGTAGTTGCTTTTGGACTTCCAGAATTTCCGCGTAGTAGGCTTTCGGTGGATGGCCACCCTTGTCAGCCTCGGTGTTCGCACCAGACAGTGCACGACGACCCTTTTGGCTCATAGATTTTGAATTGCCGACGATGCGAGATCCAGTCTTCTCTGTGATCGACGTGTTTGATGTGCTCGTAGCGCTCAGCATGCCAACGTCCTGAGCCACACGATTTTGCAACTCTTCATCCTCACGTCTGTCGCCTTCGACATTGCTGGAAGCTCGCCTCAGTCTGATTTCCCTCATCTTCTCTTCTTCACGCTCCCTGATCAATGCAGCACGGAGACGTTTTTGCTCCTCGGTCTCGAAGTCATCGTCGTCGCCTTCACTCTCATACAGAGCTTCCGTTCCAGGGATCTGTCCATGATAACGCCCAATTCGGTCCGGATTGGAGCGTTGAGCCACGGTCGGGATTTCGTCACAAGCCTGGCTATTGCTTCCGAGCAGGTTGTCTTCCTCATTGGCGTGAGGGTCGAGATTCAGTTCCTGGAGCTCGTCCAGTCCCCACTCTGCATCTCGTGAGACCTCCAGAGTGCCCAGTGATAGCGGATATCGTGAGCGTGGAGTGATCTCCCCATCCCTCTCCGTTACAGAAAGGCCAGTCCGTGGATGAGCTCGAGGTGTTCTCTGGTCTTCCGGACCCCTTGACGGTGTTTGCGGTGGGGTGGATGCTCTGGAAGCGTTGGATGATAAAGGTGTGGGTCGAACTGGGCTCAGGGACAAAACGTTCATTGCTAAACGCGATGCAGCGGTACCGAGCGTGTTGGAAGCGTTTGCCCACGGGTTTGCTCTTCCTCGAAGTCCAAGGGAAGCGGGCGTCATCTCCGGCAAGCTGTCCGCAAAAGCAGACGATGCCGGTAAGTTATCCACG